GCTAGTGGCTGTGCAATGATGTCGGCCAGTGCCTTCAGCACCCTCGGATGGAGCTCATCCGGGCCTGCCGACTTAAAGGCATCCAGTTCTTCCAAATGACTCTGCACCATCTCAGGGTCTACGCATGGTAGTCTGGCGCCTTGCTGCTGCCTCTCTACAACCCCATGAATGAAACTGCCCCTTAACTCCTGTATTTGAGAGCTTTAGCTGACCAGTTATATTGTAAAAAATAGTAGGGGGGAGATTAAAAAGTTATTTAAAAGACATTACACATTTTAAAAAATGAAATAAATTTTCAAAGGAACCCTTTGCCCATCTCAGGTTATCTTGGATTCTTGTGGAATTGTCACCACATGTGGTGTAGTGAGCTGTTTGCTTCTGCTATTTTGCAAGTAAGGTATTTTGAATTCAACCTGAGGCCAGGGGGTGGACAGAAAAAGGGTGAACAGCTACTTTTATTGGTGCTGTGTGTTCATTTCTGCTTGAAGTTAACAGACTTGCTATGGATCTTCTAATGTGCTCCCAATACAAAATGTGCTTCTTGATCCTTATTACTCATCCTAGATGTTATTGTGCAAAATATTTTAATCTTACATAAAAATAGACCTTTAAATGTAAAGCCTGCATTTGGCACAGAATTAGCAGTTAAATGCACATACATACACAAAAAGAGAATGTACACCTAATGCTTTTCAACTTGTATTACAACCATCTGCTTTAAATGATTAATAAGCACAAGCTGAAAATAACCCCAGATTTACCTAATGCCCACATGAATTTTTTTTGCAAACATTTCATTTTGGCTTTCTCTGAAGTCCATTCTAAATGTTGTCAAAGTTTAGATTAAGTTTTCCTCAGCGTGTCTGAACTTCATGTTGATGCAGAGACATATTGGGGGAAAGGACTGGAAAATACTGTTTCTCAGCTCCTGTTTATATGCTTATTGTTGAAGATCAAGAGGAACCTGGTCAGGATAGTTGGAAGTAATCTAATCTTTTTAAGTTTTTAGAAATAGCTATATTTCTTGCTATTTTAAATAATAATTTAAAAATATGTAGAATGACTTGCATCTTGATTTCTTTTGGACTCCACAAGAACAACAGTTAAGATTGGAATTTTTATGGAATTGATAATTTGATTAATTGAGGAGAGGCTGGGGCACCTGGACCTCTTCAGTCCCCGCAAGAGAAGGTTGAGAGGCCACCTTGTGGCTGCCTATAAGTTCATCACGGGGGCACAGAAGGGAATTGGTGAGGTTTTATTCACCAAGGCACCCCCGGGGGTTACAAGAAATAATGGCCACAAGCTAGCAGAGAGCAGATTTAGACTAGACATTAGGAAGAACTTCTTCACAGTTAGAGTGGCCAAGGTCTGGAATGGGCTCCCAAGGGAGGTGGTGCTCTCCCCTACCCTGGGGGTCTTCAAGGGGAGGTTAGATAAGCATCTAGCTGGGGTCATCTGAACCCAGCA